GTTGTTGTCCTGAAGATGCTATTCGAGATGCTAATTTGTCATAAATACAGTCTGGTAAAGGGGAGATTTATGCTTTTCATATGCTCAGTGTTATTAAATTTCCGCCGGCGTGGCGGTTTTTGGTTTTTCCGCCATCCGTTATCCGTTATATGGCTGATTTGTAATGGCGGCGCCATGGCGCCCGCCATGGACATGGCGGTCATGGCGGTATGGCGCCTATGACGTGAAATGGCGGAAATCTGGGCCAATTTTAGTGTAAAACTAAATTGGGCCTTTTTTACAGGCCCAAGTACTAAAAAAAAGAATGGAAAAATTAAACTTTATAACAGATAATACATACGAATCGGCTGTCTCTTCCTAAAACACAAAAACCCTACCCTCCTCAAACTCTCCTATCTGTTGCTACCGTGCGCTCTCTACTGACCCAACCCTCCGGCGACCGGCGACTCAAGATTCGGCGACCGGCGACTCCAGCTCCGGCAAGGCGGCTCTCAATCACTAGTAAGTTCTTTTTTCTTCCTTCTATTTTCAGTTTCAGATTTAGGGCAATTTTTTTTTCCTTCATTTCATAATTGATGATTAATGATGTGAATAAGTGAATGGAAGGAAACTGAAAGTATGGAAAGAAAGCTTTATTTTTTTTTTTTCAGTTTCCGATTTTTTTATTTTCCTTCTATTTTCAGTTTTTTTTTGGTTCAGTTTACTGAAACTGAAAGTATGGAATGAAAGCTTTATGTTTAATGTGTAATTAAATTTATACTTAGATTTTGCTAATTGCTACATTGTGCTTTATAATGTGTATATTCATATTGGTTATATTATTGGTGGCTTAGTGTTGAAGTTTATAAGCTTATTATTGTTACTATTATTATTTGAGAATCAGATTTGACAAAGTATTCTTTTTATAAATTTCAGGAAATGTCAGACGGGGTCCCTTCACGGGCTAGCAGGTCCAACACTAAAAATGACATCGGATGGAAATATGAATGATGCTTGGTTAATGTGTGTGGTTAATTTGAACACCTTGAAATTTGAATGATGCTTGGCATGTTGTTATGTTCTATCATCTAATGCCTCTTTTTTGTGAAAATTGACATGTTTTTAGGTGTTTGTGTTTGTTGATATGTAAATTTTATATGTATAAATATATATAAAATATATATTTTTGTGTCCGCCATTTTCCGCTACGCCATCCGCCATATAAATATGGCAGTTTTTTGGCTTTCCGCCATGGACCGCCATCCGCCATTGATAACATTGCATATGCTTTATGTTTATAAGATGTTTGGAGTGTTTTTTATTTTTAATTCCCAAATCAAAAATTCATTTTTTTTTGTTATAATAATGTAAAGAGAGATTTTTTTTAGCTTGACATGAACTTGCGCTGGACTCATTTTTTTATGACTTATAAATCATAAGCTTGTATTTTGGGATGATTAATTGGTTATTGGGTAATATGTAAAATATTTTTTTTCTAGCTTTGTGGAGACTGAATGGTTTGAAAAAGTTGTTTTTAAAAAAGAAATGGTTAGATAAGTAGATTGTGAACATTTGATTAGCATTTACAACTCTAGATTTTAATGGATTTTGATGATAATACAAATAAAGTTTTATCTTTACGTGATTAATTTGGAGCCCAATTTTTTGAACTCTGCCTGTGAAAGATCTATTGTTATTTCATTAATTTCAATAATGAGCTTTTAGGCCCATTGGCTTAGAGTTTAGAGTTATAATTAGGTTTAGGACTCTATTTAAGTTGACAAATATTGATGCCTAGTGTATCTTTTGTTGAATAGGATTGTCGGCTTTAACCTTGGGCATAAAGTTTCTTTCTGAAGTATCGGCCTTAGGCTGGGCGGGATTCGTCCCGAGTTGTTTTTAAGATATCAATTATCTCTTATTTTCGTTTGCTTTCACCCTCAACTCTATCAAGATTGGCCCTGTGTAAGATATTTATATAACATGGGCCAACTGAATTGTGTAGAGTTCTGCATTACTGTATGCACATGTTGAGGTTCTCCTGCTGATTTATTTGTGTTTGGTATACTTTTCTCACGACTTAAGATAATAGCACCATATGAGGTTGGGTTGAAGAAATTCGGTTGATGATAGTAGTCTTTTCTTTTTAGGGATGTAATTTGCAAAGCCTGTAATGTTTCTCTATAATTTGAAAAGACTGAATTTATGGATTCTATTTTGTATAGAACAGTGTCTGAAGGTCAAATACATTCTTCTTCCCGTTGAAATGGGTTCTAACTTCTAAATATTGGAAAAGAAATTGGTAGCTGATTTGGTGCTTGAATAATTAACAAATTATTGTTTGCACTACTGTTACCTGTGTATAGTGTCCTTATCTATCATCTATCTGGTTTGTGATTGTTGTGGATTCCAACATTTTCACATGTTTGGATCTTTTACTGATAATAATAGTAAGTCTTGCTAAGAAACGAAGGAAAGGATATGGAGGAGCAATTTATACTGAGAGTGCCCCCAGCAGTTGCCGAGAGAATAGAGCGTCTGTTGAACGATTCTTCTTCTTCTGAAGACAAATCCTTGGACTTGTCATTTTCTGGTGATATGCTGATTTTTCGCTTTGAACATTCAAAGTTTACCTCACATAGTGATTACTTATGTTCTATCAATACTTCAGTGTTCATGCGCTTAAATATCACCAGTTTGTTCTCGTTCTTCTGACTTTTGTTGCACCTTTTTACATTTTATTTATTTATTTTGTTATAGATGATGGAAGGACTGGCAAATTCGTAATCGGGAATGACAGTTTCTCCGCATCCCTCTTGGATCTTCCCACTGTTGTAGAGTCTTACAAAACATATGACGACAATGTGTTGATCAAAACTGCAGATATTGGCCAGGTAGTATGTTACATAATTGTTCAAATTTTCCTAGATATTTGTATTCGCTAAGGTCAAGTTAAACAGTTTAAAGTCGTGATAGATGATAATGGTGAGAGAGGAGGGTGACAGTGCAGAAACAGGGGAGTACAGGCATGGGCTTACTCCACCAATGAGGGATGCTCGAAGGCGAAGATTTAGGCGGGAGCCTGACTTAAATGTAACATAAGATTTCCATTTATTAACGTCTACAAATGCGTGATGTTTATTTGTGATACATATATTTTATAATCTACGAGTACACTTATTAACGATATTGTGTTGTTTGGCAGCCGGAGCTTGTCCGTCGTGTCGAGAAAGATTTGCAAAACATCATGGCTGGTGGAACAGCTGAGAATATTGATATCCTTTTATTTTGCTACTCTTCATGTGTGTATATGTCTCTCTATCTCCGATGTGGGTGGATAACAAAAATGCACTTTCTCTTATAATACATCTCCATGCAAAAAAAGGTCTTGTTTATTAGGTATAAGATCCCATTAAATCTTGTCATTAGCTGCTTCTCTTTTTAGCATTGTAGTCCAATCGTTTCACATGACCTGTGTGTTACGGTTTTTTCATTGCATAAACGCATAATTTGAATATAGTTTTCAATGGTCCTTGACTGATTAATTACCTGCTGAAATGGCACCAGAAGAGTTTGATGCCACTAATACTGGTAAGAATGTGGTTTCAACATCTTCAGCAAAGCCAGATGTGCCTGAAACTGGAATGGTAGGTGGGGAGCCTGACCCTGATGGGAGTGATTCAGATGAGACTGATGACTCTATGTGAACCAAAGCTGATTTGATCACATGCAAAACTGTTGTTAAGTTTATGACGAGGTTAATGCGTGCTATGTGTCAATATCATTAATAAAAGCTTGGTGTGTAGTTTGTGTATCTCCACAGTTTTTAATTAAACTCTTTTCGTTCCCCCAGATTTTTCGGTTACACGCATATATTATATTTTTCATTTATTTTAATTTTCAATGTATTGTAATATACATTCATATCTGCAATCACTTTTTATTTTTTATTTTGGAAACTCGGGTTTTTAACATGATTTTAGCATATTTTAGTTATAATAATTGTTGGACACTTTTGCCCCAATATTTTTGGTTACACATGACTTCAGCATATTTTCAACACATAAATAATAATAATAATTTTTTCAGTCAATTAGTTGGTTATGATCTCTAAAAATAAAGATATATTATTTATTACAACTTATGTCATAAATTATTGTATTGATTCGTATGCGAGTTTTACAATTAATATCCGAGCACGCACGTTCGCGCAGAGAGACGCGAGGCCACACACGGGACCAACGTCGACTCGCACAAGAGCTGCAACCGCCATCATTGAACCCGCAAACTCCCCAAGCAAGTGAGTGCTGCCAGACCTCGACCAATAGCGGGTCTCCGAGCAGGTGCGCGCGCGATCCAGCACTCTGCATAAGCAGCGCTAGCGAGCGTGCCGCCTCTCGGGTGACAGCGCACTAACCCCGAGCCGTTGAACCATTTTTAAGTCGTTCGACCAGTTTGTTCGTAGCGAAATCATATTTTAGCCTTGTGAACGTTTTCCAAGTCTTTTTCCTTAAACCGAGAGGTCAAGTTCCACAAGAAAATTTCATAAAGTGCTTAATCATTAATTTTTTGATTAAGGGAGATAATCTCAATAATTCTTCCGAGTAATAAGATAATTTATTAATGATAATTCTCTCGTACAATTTTAGGTTTCTAAGGAGTTGAGCCCTCAAGCCTATCGTGAGCGCTTGCATAACCGACATTTATCAAACTGAGGGGGTGTTGCTAAACTTGCTATACTTTTATTTCTTATAATCGTTGGATTCTATAATTAATATATGTGTATGAACCACTGATCTATCGAGAGTGTATCTCCCGCCGATGGATTTGCCGGTGGATCTCCATTTTACCTAGATTTATGCTACAGTGCCAAACATCTTTATATTAGATAAGAGACAATAGATTTTTCCCTCTATTTTCGCGCTAGTATAGATATGGGCTTCTCAAGAACGGCCCAACATTTCGTTCACAAGGCCCAAACTGGGTGTCGCCCCCTCCAAGAAAAGGTTTTATAATTTGGGAATCGTTTCAGTAAATCCCTAAAAAAGCTTCGTCGTCTCTTCGTTGTGGATCAATTCTTGCGTGAATTATCGGTAAGTTTCCTCAAATTCTGCGCTTTGTTTCATCTGTTCTTCCTTATTATTTCGGTAATACGGTATTGATTTTCCTTTCCCTCATCATCATCATCACGTTATAGATTATATTATCTTCTTTTCCTACCTGCGCAAATCGAAATTTAGATTCTGATGTGAAATCATTGTCGAGAAAGTCAGATATGAAATTGTGACCTGATCTCTTATCACTTGGTTTGATTACCTCTGCGCGAATTGTTTACCTACAACAATCAGGGATAATCTGTTGGGTTCGATAGTACCGTACGGGCTGTACGCAGCGGAATTTAAAATTTTAAAGTAAGTATTTATTGTATAAATACAACACCCGTACATACTAATTGCGAATTAACTGATCGTCATCTTTAAAACATGCATCATATAGAAATTTTGATTTGTTACTATAAAGTAAATACTAGTAAAAATATTTACCGAATGTCTTGAACTCCTTCACTATTGATGATGGATGAGGGAATCGGTTCCCGGTTGTAACTTCAACGACTTGAGGTTACTCGCTAGAGGAATCCAAGTGTCTTCCCTCTAAACGTATCCACCCTATGAAGCCCGGTTCCGACGACTTTCCTTCGCTAGTAGAAAAGACTCGGTTTTCTTGTATAGAAATATTTATGAATTTTATTTGGGAATTTTAAGAACTCTTTCTTGAAGTTTTATGAAGAACACTTTCTTCTCTTTCTAATACTTAGAAATTTAGGATCAAAAACTTCTCTTAAATGAAAAACCATTTTGCACATATTTATACTAAACATTTTAGCATAAAATAATCAACATTTAGTAATATTTAAATAAAATCAAATTTTATTTAAATAGTATTTACTAACTTTTGACTTTGAAAATAATAAGATATGTTAAGTAGTTCAAACAACCATCAACAACCATTTTATTATAATCATATTTATTATTTTAATCCTTAAATCATATTTAAAGATACAAATAATAATTGGATAATAAATCTTGAGAATCTTTCTCAAGACTTTATTATTATATATTTTTCCCAATATTATAATAATCATATTATTATTATTTTGGATTTTGAAATTTAAAATCCTATTTTAAAATTCAACTTTATTAATTTAGTAATTACCTTAATTACTAAAGTAATATCTAAAATGTAATTAATCAATCTTATTGATTAATATATTCCTTTAATTGATATCTAATCAAATTAGATATTTATCAATTAATTCTAACCATTAGAAATACAATCTTTACCTTTGTTCATAACAGGTGTGACCTTTTAGGTTCACCTTAATACTAGTAGTGGGTTTACAACACTTTGTAATTTGAGTTAAATCTTATTAACTGTTATTCATGAATTAACCCTTTAATTTATGAACCCACATATCATGGTAACACCTAGCAAGTAGCATGAATCTAGTATTAAGTGAATAGCGAGTAAACCTATT